CCACCTCTCCCCCTCCCCACCACGGCCCACAGCTTACCTGGTGGTGGTCGATGTTGAGCACCGTCAGCGGCGTCCTGTTGGGGTTGGAGGCTGCCGGCGGGCAGGTCCGCTGAGGCGGTTGCTTCTGCAGGGAAGGGTGCGTCTCCAGAGCCAGCTGCAGGTCCAGGATGTAGTCTATGACATGCTGGAGGATCTCCACTTTACTCACTTTCTTGTCCTGCGGAATGGTGGGCACCAGGCGCTTCAGGCGGCTGTAGCAGTCGTTCATGTCGTACTGCAAGCAGAACAGGTCCTCCTCTTCCATCCGGCACCGGGCGATGTTCAGGCTCTGCTTCGACAGATAGTGCAGGGAGAGCTGGCTGCTGCTGCCGCCGCCGCTGGAGGAGGAGGATGAAGAGGAGGAGGAGGAGGAGGAAGAGGAGGAGGAGTCCTGGGGGTGGACTGGAGTAACAGCCTTCATCTTAAATAACCCGACGGCTCTCGCGCGGAGGCAGCGGCGATAATGAAACAATAAGAACCCGAGCAGGAGCCGCTTCTGACACGGCAGCGACGACAACGAGAAGCTGCAGAAGACCGAAAAGGTGAAGCGAACCCAAAAGGCGAAATTCTGGTCTGTCAACACATCCCGCGAAGCCCTCCGGTTCCTCTCACTTCAGCAGGCGCGCAATGAGCGCAGTGAATAGACTTGGTTCATTTATAGAGGAGAGGGGAGGCGCCAAGGCGAGCAGGCTGACAGATCAGGGAGAGGAGCTGGTCAATCACTGGCAGCCCGCTGCCCACCGACCCGACGGCGGAGCCGAGAAAAAGGCGTGTCTCTCTCTCTCTCTCTCTCTCTCTCTCTCTCTTTCTCTCTATGCGCGCGATGCGGTGGGCTACCTAGACGCTGGAAGTGTGTGTGTGTGTGTGTGTGTGTGTGTAAGAGAGAGAGAGAGAGAGAGAGAAAGAGAGAGAAATGGAAAGGGAGACAGAAAACAAACCGATCCGACGGAGGAGAGAGGAATGCGGCTGTTCCAACAGCGCTCTATAGATTATAGGATAGAGTGTAAAGAAACGTGGAGCTTCGTGTGTCTGTCCGGAGGAATCCTGCAGCGCATCGGATGTGTTCACACTTCCACACCGACGGGATTCAGATCAGCAGCTTTTTAGTGCCCGGACTTATTGATGCGTAATTACGCACAGCCACGTTCGCATTGATCACTGCGACAATGAAACACCTGCACGACCAGAAAGGCCGGGTTGGGTCAAGTTAGCAAATGTCTGTCAAGACTAAAAATTACAAATTAAAAAGAGTAAAATAAACGTTACATTTGCGGCTTGCTTTCATAAAAGTTATCTCGAATTTCTTCACCATAAAGTTTTCGGCTATCATAGTGCCAGATTTACTCCATTTTGCTCAGGTATATCATTCTGATGGAATTTTTATTTTTATTTTTTGCATGTTTGACTTGGATTTAATATTAAGTATTTGAAAATTAAAAATTCTTGACGTCTTTATATAAAACAATTTAAAATGAAATCAAACAAAAATGAAGTTTTAAATCGTCCACTGTCTCTCCTCCATCTCTTGTTCCTCCAACATTCCTCCGGCTCTCTGCTCCCTCAGCCGCTCACTGAGGGCCCCGCGGGCCAGACTGCCTGGCGCCACGCAGCAAGCTTCAACCATTCACACCAAACTTTTCCTTCTTCCTTTCCTTCTATCTCCCTTCGTCCCTTTCTCTTTCCTCCTTTCCTTCATTTTTCCCGTCAGGCCACAGTGCAGTAAAGATGGCACCAACCTCAGCGTCCCTTCCAGGTTTAAATAGGATCCACCACATTCGCTGCTGTCATGAGAAGTGAAAGGCCTAAATGGCTTTAAATTGGAACTTTATTTTTATAATTTTTTTCAGCCTTTTCTCCTATGTCTTCTTCTGACTGTCGCTGTTTTACGGTTGCCATGAAAAGTCGCTGCTCTGCTCAGCCGTGTGTGTTTGTTTCAAGGAGAACTTCAGAGTAATCAGTGATATGAATGGGTGATGCTGCCTTCCACCGGTAGCGTGTTGCTCTGACTGTCTGTGCAGCAGGAGGATGATGGTGGCAGACTGAGAGGAAGAACAGTGGAGTAGATCTGTGGCGGTGACTCACTCAGAACGTTTGTCTCCGAGCAATAATGGTGATAAAACATCAGATGATAAAACATTAGATTCTTCTTGTGATTTTTAGAATGCTACAGCTAACGGGGTTGTTTCCCCTTTTTGTGAACTGATTGATTCATGTGGTTAGTTGTTTTTTTTTTCTAACAAAGATAACCCCTTTGCTCTCTCCTGCTGAAGATGAAATGTTCTGTGTTGGTTTGTTTGAATCTCAGAACTGTTCCAGGGTCCATGCAGCTCCATGGAGAATCTTTGACATGCAGCCACATGAGCTTCACTTGTTTTCTCCCTCTTTAGCTCAGGCTGTCAGCCTGGACGCAGAGCACCATGAGCTTCTTGACTGCTTTTCTGATTAACGTGCTCCTTGCCAGTCCTTCAGTTTACAGTCCAGGTATGTTTCAGTTTTTGAAGATGGATTAAATGCTCTGTGTGAAATGCTTGTTTGAAAACCTAACCCTGCCCCCTGACCTCTCTGCTGTCTATGTTCTTTGGTCTTCATGATGCTGTTGTTTTACTAAATGTTCTCTAACAAACCTCACATGCCAACAGAAAAACTTTTTTTTGTTACATCCAGATATATTAGTACATCCAGGAAGTAGTCTGCATCCCGTGCACTAGGTTTCATTTGGTGCTTCAGAGTAAAAGGTGGCTGGATAAAAGTACTCTTTATTTGTGTCAAGTGGTAAAAACCCCATGGATCATTTCCCTGACACGTAACAAGTATTTGCCAAATGTGTATTGGATCAATTTTAAAACATTGCATGGTGATGACCGACGTCGTCATATGATCATAAGCACGAGCTACAGCAACGGCCTTTTGTGGAGCATTGACTGTAGAGAAGTCTGTTAGGATATGGAGTCAGAGTTAAGAGTGTTGGGACTGTGATTGTGACTTCTTTCATCATTTCATGATCATGATGTTTTAAGCCATGGTTTACGTCCAGTCTGTCTTCTTGTAGTGCAGATGTTTGATGCGTGTCTCACATGAACAATGTAAAAGTGAGATAAAATGCGATATGACTGTTCAGACCGCAGGAGCCTTGAAAATAATCGGATACGTATCCGATTTAGTACCACATGTGGAAGTGGATCAGCTTTTATTTATTTATTTTTTTTAGGTGAAAAGATCAGATCAGACTACCGTGAAAAAGTCAGATATGGGTCATATATGGAGAAAAATAATTTGACATGGGTGACATCCCTCCGTTGTGTGAACGTAGTCACCATCCTGACATCCTCACAGATTTGATTGAAGCTGCTTCTGTCTGGCAGCCTCTATTAGAAAAACACTGGAAAAAAATGTAATAGATTATCAAAACAAGAGAACAGCTGACAAGAGGGAGTTTTGTTGTGCCTCGTAGAAACCAGACCTTAGAGGAACCTTATTTGCTACATTTGGTGGCATTTTCAAGGTTGATCACAGCCAACCTTGTTGGAAGCACCTTGCTGTGACCTCTGTATGGTACTTTGACCCTTTGTGCTCAGTAACCTTCTTATATTCTACTCTTGCTTGTTTTAGCCGTGTCCTCTGTCACAGGTCTGTGAACCATCCAAAGTTTACCACAAGGAAAAATTCGGAGCTGCTCAGAACAAAGATATTAATCTTGCATTTAGATTTCTTCTTTTTTTCTTTGCTCGTGTTCTGTTGCGTTTGCCCTGCTGCTCTTCCTCTCTGTTTACTTCTCTAAACGGGGTTTGTTCCGACCCCACTTCCCCAAAGGCTTCAGTCGCAGTGACATGGGACTCAGGCCTGGTAACCAGAGCCTCATTAGCTTAGCAGACAGGTGATAACCTGACAGGTGAAGCTTTCTTTGTTGTGGCTACACCGGGCTGGAGGCAACAAACAGACTCTGAAACACAGCCGGCTCCTCTGAGCACGCCTGGGCCAGAAAGTCAGCCAAAGAGAAGTAAGTGTTGCATGAGGCAGAATTTCATCAGGATCCTCTTGTGGTGTGCCTTTAATGCAGCAACTATGAGCAAAGTGGAAATTGCATGATGCTCACATCTGTGTGAGAGGTTTTCCTGGGTGGTGACATTTCCACACTTTCAGGAGAGCTAGCACCTCTCAGTCTCATGTGACACCATGACAGTAACATCAGATCATGCTGGATGCTCTTTTCATGGGTGAACACCATTCAGACAGCAGGATTAGTTGGTATTAAAATGAGAAGTGAACGCTTTCTGAAGGAGTTTTTGACTGAAGCGTTAACATCGAATTGACTCTGAAGTATCGTTTTGAGCAAATCAATAAATCAAAAGTGAAACCTGGCAGATGTTTGCAAATGTTTGCAAATCTTTGTCTGAATCCTGCTAATGAAAAAAAAAACACAATTCTGATATTGTGGCAACTTATTCAGGCATTGGAGTGACAGGTCTACTTGGGAGTGACTCCGCATGCAGCGTTTTGTTACTGTTTACTTTAATAAAGCGTCTGTCCAACAGGGAGCTGCTTCGCAGGTGCTGAGGAGGAATTGCACAAATAAAAATGTGAATTTTTGTATTCTGGCATTTTGTTTGAGGCGACCGGTCTCTGTGAAGAAGCATGGGCGTGATGGGTTGTGTTGGATTGCTGTTGTGGTCCATCTTGCTGACTACTAACACCTCACAGTAATGAGGTGTTACTGTGTTGAAAGTGATGTCAAAGTGGCTGTTCCGAGTGGAATCAAATCTGAGCCGATTTGATGCAAGTCGGATTCAGGACCACATGTGGAAGTGGCTCAAATCTGACTGAAAAGAATCAGAAATGGTCCTCATCTTCATACTTATTCTAAAAAGCCTGACCTGGGAACTTGACCTCCCCTGAAAACAAAAATCAGATGCGGACCTTATCTGACTGCAGTGTGGATGTAGCCAAAGCATCAAAGTTGAAATTGATGAATTTTCTCAACCGAGCTGATTAGATTTACCTTGTTACAATCAGTTTTGTTCTGACAGAACTTACACACCCACATTAAAGATAAAGTTCTATCCTGTTTGAAAGCCTGAGGTGCAGATCTAAACAAACGTCACCGCTATTAGCGTCTCATTGCTTTGAGTGTTGATGACATCCAGTAGTCATGTTGTACCTGCCTCATATCTGATCCAGTGTCATGTCTGCCACTGACGGCTTTGTCTGCGTGGACGATTTTGCTGTACAACATAATATCTTTTCAGAAGTGAACAAACTGGTCGTCTGGATGTGGTTTTGGTGGGAAAGAACCGTCTCTCCAGCTTCCATCAGCAGCTGACACAGTTTAACCGGTAGCCTGTAAATAATCCCCAATAGCTGGTCTGTCTGGTTTGTGATGAGTGGTGACACAGGTTGTTTTTATTTTTTTCATATATATATATATATATATATATA